GAGTACACGGCACAACAAGAAATGTAAAGTCTAATATTCAAATGCTAAATAACTCAATATATTATAAAAAGGTGGACCAAATCACACAGTACACCACCAGTGTGGCGATAGACTAATAAACTTCCTTTATAAGAAATAGTTTATTCCCAAAAGTGGGACTTTTTTAATGGATGATAATGGAATGGTATGCCTGCGCTATCAGTATACGCTGACGGGCCACCACTGAGGGATGATAGGTGAAAAACCTGGAATTAAGCACGATGGTTTTCTGGAGGGACCACGTGCAAGTCGACCTGTCAGAATATATTGCTAGAAATGGGACTGGTAGTCCGCATTACTAACAACCCCTCTCTCTAGTGAGGCATTATCAGGTTTTCATAATGACAATAAACTAGGCACGGGTTCAATGAATACTCGTACGTACAAACATAAGTGATTCCTCCTGGGAGAAGGAATTATTGGTAATAGAGACTAATAAACCCATTGCCAACAATATACCCTGTCGGGACGACCTCCACGCGATTTACTCTGGAATCCATCTAGACCAAGTAAAGCAAGTTAGGACTTGCTTTCACCTGCCGTCCCTCACTGGTACCTCGCTAGTATATACCGATAAGGTAAATACTTAACTAAATGTGACTAAAAAATTTCCTATCTTCAATAGTTTATAAAAAAGATATAGAATCAATATTCAAATTTTTAATAGTTATTGTTACAGTTCCTTAATAGATCACTTGGCCATTTGAACCTCTAATAATTCATCTGATTTGGTAAATTATAGGTTATGTTAAAAAAAGCGTACATTTTAATATCTAAACCTTACTAATATTGTAAATATTAGTGTAGGTTTATTTATAATTAAATTTAACATTACGCACAGTACCTATTTTATACAGAAGGACAATATTATCTCAATTATACGGACGAAGTCGTGAGCACAATTAGTATATTATATTATAATTAAGTAATTAGAATATTTCCCGACAATAAGGACTAAATTTAATTAAAAGCGCTTAAAAGCCCTACTTTATGATTTAAGTAATAATTAGGTACTGAAAATGAATTTACTACATTAGGTATTAGAAATATGCTATCTACATACAATAATTTTCCATATAATACAACCGTCTGTATATATTTCATGTAATACCTACTATCATACCAATTATTATTAAAAAGATAATGATTAGGCGTATTTCTTAGAATTAATTAAAACTGGACTTACGTCACTAGTAATTTGTTACGAATAATCTGATATTTTTTTTTATCTATAAATATTTTACACTAGCTTCCTGCCCACTACTTTGTACGTGTAGATTCCAGAAGTAACAAAACCAATAAAACAGGTCACTTATAACGTATTAACAATCAAGATAAAACATATACCGACTTGTTAAGTTAGATCTTCAGGAACACAACTAGGAAAACTACAATAGCAATAGTTTTTGTGTGATGCCAAAACATACAGACAAACAGACCAAATTTTCTAAAACTTATTATTTTGGCTACTATTTTAAATGTCAATTTTAATATATTCAGTACAAGTTGATTATTTATTTGTACATATATAATGAGTGACAGTGACAACCGCACTAATGCCAAAACACTGTATGACAGCTGTCAGTTCCTTCCATCCGATACATTTTTATGATTCAATAGATTGAAGATATAATTATTTCGTAAGAATTGGAAAAGAAAAAGATATAATTAAAGATTGTGTCCCATAAAAAACCGATTTTAATTCTAACAAAACCAGTTATGTTCATCTAAAAACTATACTAATGAAAAACAGTTTTCATAAAATTTCTATGAAACCAATCTGTAAATTTAGATCATCAAAGAATTTTTTATTTCAGTCTAGAACTGACGTAGTTATGAGGTAAAAAACATAAAAAAAATACAACCAAATTGTGAACTCCTTCTTTTGAAGTCTATTGAAAACACATCAATAGCTAAAATAGATTTATTTGTTCGTTTGATATTTTTATGAACAAGGGAACAATGTTTTCCTGCCGTTTTATAGCTTTCGCCTATGATCAATATATGGCATAAATTATCACGTTACTCACGCTAGAAAGCACAAAACAACACCAAGTGACACGATGAAGGCTTAACTTCTAACTAGGGCACGGCTGTATTAGGAGTTTATGGAACATGATCCATTTATGTTGAGAGCTATAACTTCAAAGCTGTATCATGTTCTACCTTTTCGCATAAAATAATAATGATATAATACACGCGGATATAAAAGAGTGCATACTTTATTACAAGTAGTGTCCCGGTAAATTTTATACTGAAATTCTTTTTATACTCAGTTTTATAATAAATAATCGCTTCTTTTCCTGTAGGTGTCGTAAAAGGTGATTATATAGGTGAAATAATATATCATAGTAGTTTAGGAATGGGCAATAGCATCCATAAAAATGTTTACGCATCTCCAAAGCCTAACTGCGATTACCAGTCTGCGTGCCAATCGTGGCAACTACTGGCAACACCCCCCCACCCCTTAATAGGCGGAGACTTATTTTCAGCAACAGACAGTTAACCGCTGATATGTTACTGATGTATATGTATTATGTTTATATTGTATACAGCCGTATAGAATAAACAGACTTTGTAGAATTGACACTTATAAATATATTTTGTGAATGAAATGAATGAATTCAAAATTGCTATTAAAGGTGTAGCGTAAAATATAAAATATTGTTTTGAAATCGCAAAGATTCTTTTCTTTTGGCAATGTGAATATGATGCTCTGTGTAGCATATGTCTATAACCTATAGCAACTAGTAGTACTAAGTAATAGTTTATAGAAAAACCAAACTATGACCAGAACCATGTATAGAGATACTATAGACACAAAATTTATCATATTTGGATATAACCTATCTATTTCACTATTAAATTAATACCTATTTTAAGATTAAATCTAACCGTAAACGGTATGCTAATATCTAACAATAGTATGAATATAATAACCAATTTACTAACTACATTTTTAGTTTTGTTACTAATTAAATTTAGAAAATGTTTCTATGATAATTTGAACAAAACTTAGTTTCATTATAATTTTGTTATATAATCGACTTCAATAGAACCTAATAAAAATATAATCAAACGAATACTGACCCAACTATAAAACAGCCTGCTGATATCCAATAAGAATAAAAAACGAAATAATTGATTAAATGTTTTGATGTATTAGTAATTATATTTAGAGAGTATTTCTATGATCATTTGAATCAAACTTAGTTTCCTTTTTCATTATGTTATATAGTCTACTTCAATAAAACCTAATAAAAATGTAAACAAACGAGGAAACGACCAAAGTATAAGACAATCTGTTGATATCCAATATTAGTTACGAATAACAAATCAATTAATTGATTGAACATTTCAATTTGTTACTAATTACATTTAGAGATTATTTTTATAATAATTTGAACAAAACTTGGTTACATTTTCATTAATTGCCATTAAAACAGATATTTAGTTTACCTGGCATGAGAATTTATACAGAAGTTACTGGAATTCAGTAACTAAATTAATGTAACATAACTATGGGTTTATATTATTATCACGTACTGAAATTAATTAGTAGGTCTGTGTCTTTGTTCCGCTGTCTATCGCGTATGTGTTAAGTGACTTCAATTTAATGTTGGAACGATAAGTAGATAGACGTGCCAGTAATAATTAGGCTTCCCCTTCTATTAAGATCATTACGCCATCCTTGAGTGACATGTTTTTAAATGTACTTCGAATATTCCTTAGTATAAAACCATAGATATAAGTAGAGATAGACGGTGCAAATCACAATGTATATGAAAAAAGCGTATCACTAAAAAAATAATTGTCGTAATTTTACAAAAGTTAATTATTGTTAGAAAACCCTCTTTCATACTAAACATGGATATGAATTTACTTAAATTATCAACAGGTTTAAAATATTGCTTGTGATAATTAATTAATTTTCAAATCAATAATTTTGATATTTTTACACAAAATGCATTCACAAGCATTAAAAGCGCTCATAATGAAGTCACCATTTTTTTTTTACACTGAAGCAACAAACAAGCATACGGTCCACCTTTTTTTTAACGTTGGAAAATGCTTTATGTTTTATACCCATACACCTTGTGGGAGGCGAATGGGTACTGTAGGAATCCCCCCGTAAGGTGGGAGTGTACCCACCAAAAACCAGACAAAATACCCTCGAGGTGCCATATGTCCGAGACATGGGTTCGCTTTCGCACTCACCACATCTCCGTAGTCTATGAACGCCTGCAATACCAGAGGCATTACGCGCGCGTTACCAACCCTGAAGAAACCTCTTTATGCCTTTTTTGAAGAACCACATGCTGTAGTCGTTGTACCCATCTGGCCATTTTCGAAAGTAATTGAACATTATGCTACTCATATGAAAATCTAACTTTTCAGTGAAAGCTTAATAATAATATTACTGCATGATTAATGTTCATTAAAGTATTCTTCACTTTTTAAATCATCATATCATATCAGTCATTAACTGTCCACTGTTGAAATCAGGTTTCACCTTTAAGGAGGGTTTTGCCAGTAATTGCCATGTTTGGCAGGCGGGTTAGCGAGCGCAGTTAGGCTTTTAGTAATATTATAAGAGGGACGCTACTTTCCATCCCTCGACCACTAAGTTCTCTTCACTTGCCTCTTATGATACTCACGGGAAAGGAAGTGGTGGCTTATTCTATACCGGGATTACACGGTAAACTTTTTAAGTAATCAGTCAGAAATACTTAAAAATGTTAAATTGTTTTTGAAAATTGACAGATAATTGCGACGTTGCTATACTTCAACAAACAAAAGTTATGAACGCTCTTAAAAATAATTTCAAATAAATTTACTTTTCCCTCTAAGGTGCGAGTTTAATTTAGAATGTATATATTATTCGTGAAAACAAAATAGTGTATAAATAAAATTAATCATCATCTAACTGATTTGCTAAAGTATTAATATTTCTTTTTCAGTTGTCTACGTCGTGCTGATATCATCAAAGTATTTGACGGTAGAGACACAAATGCTCCAGCTATTGCTATGTTGTGTAACGAGCTTACAGGTAGGTTACAATATTTTTCTCTTAAAATTTACAGAACATTATTATCTTTAGCTTTATACTTGATACTCCATCTAAATGTATATGATCTATGAGTCTTTATGTCGTACGCATACATAATATATAATAGATAGAGTATCGAGTGTGAACTATCGATTTTTTTAATACCTATTCAAAAGTTCACTCTCTTGTTAATACGAAAATAGTTTAATTTGTTACCAATTTGAGTATAAGAATAGAAATTTCTATGTCCAACAGTAGATAATTAACGGCTGAGATGATGGACAATAGGTCATAGTAAATTAGATGTTTTAATTATTTCTAAGCTGATTAGAACGTAATTTCTTCTTTCATTCACTACTAAAATGTATAAACGTAGAACAAGATTGCTATCTATTGATATCGAATTCTCATAAATTGTGAAGTACAATCGATTCTGTTTGAGTGTACATTTCATCCTATTGAAAACTTTACTTGTAAATATATAGCCAAGTCTAACAATACATCATTATAAATACTTAATCCTCCAATATTGCTACGGTAACCGCTTACCATCAGGTGGGCAACAAGCATACGGCTTGTTTGCCACCTCAGTGGTATAAAAAAAAATATAAGAATTCACTTATGGATTCTTAATCTTCTTTAGTGATTATGAACGGAAATTTGATACATTATAGAAAATTCTCTACTCACGTGATAAAATTTAATTAAACTAATTTCCACCTATTCTTTACGAGTATTCTATTGTACAATAATAAACTGTAAAATGCAAAAAACATTTGTCAACACAATAAATAATTATCTCAAGTAGACATTACTAGTAACGTTTTTCATTGTTATTATTATCAAAGACATAAACTAAATTGTGAGGGGAATCGTTACATTTTTAAAACTATATGCTATATTAGATGCTATAAGTACGGTATACGATAATAGTACGGAATCGCTTTGATAATTGGACAGATTTTTAATTAAAACAAAAAAATAAATATGAATTGTGCAAGGAGATAATATGGATATTTTGTTTTCACAATTTTTTTTTTCAATTAGTTTTATTTATATATGCTAGTTATAATTATGTAGTAGGATCTGTAAATTTATTTTCTATAACAATTAGGTAGTGAAATTAATAAAAAAGAAATACTGAAAAATTTTAAACCTTTTAAACTCGAATTTTCACCTATCTATCCATATTCACATAATCACATGCATAATTTTACCAACAAAAATAAACACAGCAATTTGACGGTAACACTACCATGCATCCAGATCTACAGCGGTCACCTAGCTACCTACTTTGACGTCTCGACGTCCCAGTTCGCTGGCGACTGAATAATTCTACGTCAAAGCAACACTGACTTTAACCAGTAAGGATGTCAGATTTCTTTTTTAATAATTTCAGAAATTATTGCACAAATTAAAGTGAATAAAAAATATTTTACTCGGTAAATACGACCTAATTGTTTTATGACTGTGCTAGTAACAAAGTTAATCTTATGTACTTGACCTGTATAACTTATGCTATCTTAAACCTAATGATGTGATAAATTTACATCATTTAAATTTGTACTACAAGTATAAAAACAAGAACTGATTTTCTTATAGTACAATTTATTATATTTAAAAATCTGTATCGTTTGTAATTAAATAATTCAAAACTCTTCGGTAAAATATATAAATCATTTAATATTTTTAATGAATTAAAAAATGTTTTATAGGTAGTTGTTTGGTGCAACCCTATAAACAAATACCTATCGCCTCAACTACGAGTTGTGATTGCTGGCCCCAGTTTCAATACCTAATTTCCAGGTTTTCAGTATTCAGGCCACGTGACCATTCACTGTTGCTGCTTTTGTAGTTCTGTGTGTGCATTTTTTAAATCTACATACAATTCTATTACTCGTATGAAAGTTGATAAATATGTTTGAAAATTTGAAAATTTTGGAAATTTTGTTCAAACGCTTAAATTTATTTTATAAAATTTGGTAGTTATTCAAATTAACTTTTTTCAATGTTTCAATACAAAATATGGTCCATATTTTGTATTCATTCACGCGGGTAAAAGCACAGTATGCAGTATTGTAGTAGTAATCATCATCATCCTGTTAGCCATTACCTGTCCACTGCTGATCATGCGCCTCACTCTATTTGGGGGGTTTGTCAATAATTCTTACACTTAGCAGTTGAGTTGGCAACCTTGGTGATGTTTAAGGAGAGACGCTGCTCTCCAAGCATTAAGTTCTCTTAATCGTCTCCTACGACACCTAGAGGAAAGGAAAGAATGACTTATTCTATGCCGGGACCACACGGCGAACTATTGTAGCAATATTTATAACTTATATATATATATACAATTATAGAAAATTCCTTATGAATTAGCATTATTTAAAAAAAAGAAAATATTGGATCTAAATATGTAAACAACTAACAAAAAAAACTTTTTTTAAGAACAAAAAAAAAAACATTTAATATTATTACTGTAATGGTATATTGCTATCCAACTTTGGACAATTGCCATTCGTACGTATGAAAAGTCCAATTCAAACAGATACCAACTAGTTTTACAAAATATAATTGAAAATTAAAGCCAGTTCAATAAAAACTTATAATTAATGTAATTAATAATCATCAAAAAATAACTTAACAATCTTTTATGTTGAGTCTATTCATGTACTCATATGTTAGAAAAACTTTATATTGCACTTTCAACTACATTGACTAAATTTTGATCTCCCACGACCAAATTAAATACAAAAAACCCCAAAAATAAATAATTAAATATACATATTTATTACTTGATCACATTTAAACGATTAAATGGATTTTTTTTTCTTATAATAATCACATATGTATTTTACAGTTTTTAATCTAATGAGTAAGTTCTTGGAATCTATGTACTTAACACAGTTTACTTAGTACTTATGTCTATAGGTACTAAGCCTCAACAAAGTATTTACTTATTACACTGTACAATGTTTAAATATACACATTAATGTTTCCAGAATGAACTAATACTGACCTTTCCTTGACCTTCATTATCATTTGATTTGTGTAGTTATTGATAAACAATATGGAGTCGTGTTAGTAAACACATAATTTCTACTGTAGTATGCAGATAGGTACTGACCTAGATAATAATACATCTACTATTAATTAAATGTAATGAAACAACCGACTGATTACTTGTTTTTAGTTTATCTTATTCTCAATAGGTAGGAACCTTTAATTTCTCTAATCTTTAAATTGATTAAATTGAAAGAATTAAATAATGTTGTTATTACTTTTATATATATATATATATATATATATATATATATATATATATATATATATATATATATATATATATTACATTAGTAATCGCTTCATCTATGGAATGTCGTAACTGAATTTTTTTATTGAGTGATAATGGAATGGTAACCCCCACCCGCGCTATGGGTATACACCGGCGTGTCACCAGTGAAGGATGATAGGTGAGGATGAAACAGGTCAGTTAGCCCATCGGGAAGAATTTAACAAGAATTGTTTACGATGGTTTCCATGGGGAACCACGTGGAGATCGACCTAATAGATTATATTGCTAGCAATAGGGCTGTCAAACTCCATTGCTACCAATCCCTTTCCCTCTATAGCAACTGGATTGCCTACACAGACTCGATATTCGATAACTATTCGTCCGCCTCGGTTGTCGATTCTACAAGCTATTAAGTCAATCTAAACTTTCTAAAACTACGAATAGTAATATCCGACATCTTTACTTCGAGTATTCTTGTATATTATCGCCTTAACCGCTTAACTAATCACTATGAAATTTGATGTACACGTACCAAATTAGGTGGAGAAGGACATGGGCAACCTTTTATCCCGGTCAATGAACATATACATAACATAGAACGAAGTCGCAGGTTAAAGCTAGTACCTATTATACAACCTGATACTACATTGTATTTTAATTTTAACTATTTACATATAAATAAGCAAGTAAATAAATAAAAAGTGTCGTCCCGGCATAAAATGGGCCTCCCCTTTGTTTCCCTGTGAGTATCGTAAGAGGTGACTAAGGGGACTTGATTGTCGAGGAATGGGCCGAAGCGTCCTTCTTAAAATATCCAGAATTTAAATATTAGTCATGATGTGGATTATCCTGGATTTAAATTCGTAGTTAACTATGTTTACCAACCCGACTGCCAAGCGTGGCAACCACTGGAAAAACACTCCTTATAAAGAAGACCAATGTTCAGAAGTGGATAATTAACGGCTGATTTAAAAATCAAATAAACTCTATCAAATATGAGTATTCTAACATAACAATGATTAACAAGCACACGCTCTAAATGATGCTAAGCTACCGTAACAGCAATCTCTGTAAACCTATAATTCCAAGGGTTTTACAATCTGCCGACTTTTAATCTGACCTTCCTAGAAGCTCTACCAACCATCTAACAGCAGAATATTTTTCACTCTACAGATTTTTGCTAAAATTATTTGTTTTTTAACTATATTTTCAATTAGACGTTAGTTTTATATAAAGGCCCTGCAAGGTTTTTAATAGCAAGACCTTTTTATTATTAAGTCTATTGAATTACAAATACTAGGGAAAACGGTTTTTTTCTCTTCACTCATTTTATAAAAGACAAGTAAAGGGGACGAGTTCACATAGCACAGTCTGACGACTAATTTCCTTTTTAATTAGTAGTTGCTAAATTACTACCTAGCTCTCGATAAAAAGATTGTTTTTAATATTTTTATAAATAGTAATTAAATGTTACAGTCGAACAACGAACACATCTGACAGCATTGCGTCCCGAATAGTCACGTTATATTCGGAATACGCCTAAAGCCTTAGACTACTGTTTTTTTTCCTAAACTGTGGTAGTTTCATAGGTATAATGGAGGTCGAAAGTCCGAATAAAAATGATCCTTCATGTAGACCTCGGGATCACGTAATCAACTTAAGTAAATAAATTTAAAAAAAATCTACATTTGACGCTAAATTATACCCTTTTCGGTAATTCATTTACAAATGCTACCCATTAATAGTGATCAATAACAATCACCTAATCAATCGAATTAATGATAAAATAGACTGTCCCTATACAAATGCTTTGTCAGAATTATCTGTACGTTTTTTATTTCACACGTAAACGTAATTCATCATTTTATGCTATATGTATACTATAATCGAGATGTCAAAATATTATTTAATAGATATTAATTGCTACAATGAAAAATAACGTGTATTGGTTTGTTTAAAAATACCTGCCAATTAACAGTTGACCGACTGTTTTTTGGAACTTTTTCACACTCTCACACATACTCCAACTAGAAGTGGAAAAATTATCAGGTGGTTACATACAATTAACATGTTAATGTTGCTGTCGCATACATACGTATTTTTTTTTTATAGCACAAAAGCAGCAAACAAGCGTAGCCTGTCTGACAAATTACACTCAATCTAAATGTTGTTTTGATAAACACCTCCATCTAATTTCATTTCGATTTCACACACAAATTCATTATTTATATATTTAACTAAACTTTGAAAAAAACAACAGCCGGATTTCTTGCCCGTTCTTCTTGAGTTGCGTTCCGAACAGGCAGTAATGAAAAAAGTGACTATTCAAAAGAGCTTAAATCTGAGTTTATTTGAAAAAAAAATATCTTTTTTTATTTCTATATTATTAGTATATCCCAAATACAATCGTCTTTTAGAAAAACTGAATTTCTGAAAAATATTATTTGATTCCAGGATACGAGGTGCTATCAACAGGTCCTGCATTACTTCTACAGTTCACGGCAAATTCAGCCACTCCAGGACAAGGTTTTGCCGCCACATTTCATTTTCAACCACCGCCAGATTCCACGGCAGCCGGTTAGTGGTTTTTAATAAAAGTTTAAAAAAAAATTGAATAAAACTATATTTTTATATTATTTTTATTCATTTCTCACTACAGACAATTAAGGAACTTACCACCTATAACATGCAGAACATTTTAACAATATTATTTGTGGGAACTGGTGCCTGTACTACAGTACTGTACTAGTGTACTCTAATATATTTAAATTTATAATACAAGTTTAATACCTATTAAACCTGTATAACAAGTCACCAGGACCCTTACCTCGAATAGTACAAATTATATTATACTAAGATACAGATTTAAAAACTTTTCCAAAAAAATTATGGTGAGTACATAAAAAATCCAAAAACTGTTACTTAAATAGTATGTAAACTATCTTAGTAATGATCGAAGGATATACCAATAATATCTGCCTCCAATAAAATAAGTATTATAATAAAAATTATTAAAAAAAAGCCAAATATACAGATCTCCACAATATATTATGTATTTCCTCTATCCGTAGTAAAAGCACCTTAGAGTAATTGCAAGCGATCTAGTTTAATTTGCAACTACGGCCAACAAGGTATGAATAGGAATTTTGGCTGCAGTCCAGATACACTCTACTTTGGGTATACCTACTTAGTATTTAACTATGTACGTATCTTTATGAATGTAGAAGGTATTTGAAATTGGTAGAATTTGTTGTATTGTTTTAATTTAAAAGAACTTCAATAATTTCTGATCTTAAATATTAATTTGTATAAAATAAAGTAATTATACTTTCGTTAACTTTTATGCACCGAGGTACGAAGCAGTTTATTTTTCATTTGCGTGCTTAACGCCATCTGTTAGAAGTATAGTAAACTAAGTGAATAAAGAATGAATCTTTCAGCAAGTAAGCACACATTTGCGTTTGGAGCCCATTCCATCCTCTCCTATTATTATAAGTATACTTCAAGAGATGGCACCACTAGTACATATTTTAAAATTTATTTTGTAACATTCATCTTTCATAGTTCGTTCACTTTTATCGAAAAATATTTCTTAGGTTTAAATACTTACATACATTCTTTGATATTTTTTTATGTATTTACTTACACAGATAAAAATAATAAGAACCAATTTATGTTTCTCATGAATCCTGGCTTATCTTTGTACTACCTCTGAGATACAAAGAATTAAACAAATCTCATATAAATAAAACTATTGTTGTAGATGTTTTATAATAATATGGGCGGAAAAATCATAAAAAATGTCTATTCAAAAATGTTTGAATTAAATAAAGTAACAGTAAAAATTATTTGTTTCTTTCATAAAGTAAAATATTTAATATTTAACAGTAAAAGAGAGCAGTTAATAATACTATACTAATATTTTATTCATTTACTAATTTCCTAAATGTTTTTATTGTTTTAGATTCTGACCGCCTCTTGAAACTCAGTTTTGGAAAAGCCTTCGAATCTCTCGGTCCAGAAGTAAGCGCTACAAGTAAGTAATATACCTAAATAAAATTTTAATACGCTGAAATTGTATTCGAATTAGAACTTAAAAATTAAATTACTTTATGAAATGGCCTTTCTCGTGACGTGTTTCCTTTGTACTCGTACTTTATGAAATACGAGTACGAAGTACAAAGTACAAATAGTAAAAGAGTACATATGAGGTACGCCTAGGATCCTTCAAATGTAGTGTGAAAAAGCTTTAGTGAGCCGGCATAGTGCGACCAACCGTTGAGAGCAGAACATTTTCTTTTCGACTAATCGTATTCATGGGTCATGTTGTCTCTGTGTTCGCTCAGGATGGTGTAGTCACGTGTTTTAGTTTTTTTTTTTTTTTTACTATAGTACGATAATAAAAAAATATAATAATTAAAAAAAATACTTAAATAAATGCTTATACTAGAATAATCTTTTTTACTTAGACGACTGTCTACAAATACAATATTATTTATTTAAACTAGTCATCATCATATCAGCCGTTAACTATCTGTCTAGTTCCTCGAATTATTAACGAACTACCCACCGGTGTACGAGATAATATTAACTTTTTTTTTTTTTGATGGGTGAAAATGGTGTGGTAACCCCGCCTGCGCTAACGGGATACGCTGGCGGAGCACCACTGAACGGTGATAGATGAGAATGAAAACAGGCCAGTTAGCCCATCATGACGAATTCATCAGGAATTAACCATGATAGTTTCCAGGGGGAACCGCGAGGAGGTCGACCTGGTTAGATATATTGCTAGCGATGGGATTCTTTGTCCGCATTACTAACATTCCCTTTCCCCCTAATATTAATATTAGCAACATCAAATGTAAATTAAAACGATACTTCTTGCGTGATTTTAATACAATTTAAATAATTTCAATATATTTAGCATTAATATAAACCTACGTGGTTTCTGAATGCTAATGCAACATAATTTCTGTAACTTTATATTTTTATTGATAATAAAAAAAAAACTGTCCACTGCGGAAATAAAGTCTTCCTCATAATTGCTTGCCAGTAGTTACCATGTTTAGGAAACGGGTTGGCAACCGAGCGGGTTCTAGTGATGTTTAAATAGGAACGCTGCTGTCCATGCCTCTACTATTAAGTTCCCTTTATAGTCTCTTACGACACTCATGAGAAAGGAGGCGGTGGCCCATCCTATGCCACGACAAATTTAGATAACAATGTATTAAAAATTTACTAGCTTAAATTATCTATGGCTATACTTAAGCATTTTAAACTTAACCAACTTTTAACACTTGACATAATTTATAATTTAATTTGATTTTGGCTCAAATTTAATATAATAATAACCAATTCCTTTAGACACTAAATTAGCTATATAAAATAAATACAAAACATAAAAAAATACAATAAAATTAAAATTAACTTAACATATAATTAAATTGTCATAAAAAGATAATAAAAAAAATATAAAAAACAATCAAAAATATAATTTTTCATTAAAAGTTATATTAATTGCAACTGAAAATTTCTCTCACTATTTCTTGCATGCTTTTAAGAGTTTCAATTTTAACATTTTAAGGCATGACTAATGATGTTCTAATAGAATTTACGCTATAAATTCACTCTATCTGGAATAAATAATGTTTTCACTAGCGCTGCAAAGTCTATTTAAACAGGCACTACAAAAAAAAGGACAAGTAACGTCAAAGAAAACGATAAAGCGAAAGCGAGCGCGTTGTAGAGTAATTTCAAGTTTTAAAATTGACAAAGTGAATAATAAATCCTAAGGCGCTAATGCCGCTGAGCTTCGCGTCGTGATAATACGAGTAATTTTATTTAGAGGTTTATGTTTATCTCCCTTTTGGTATTTTTCGCTTTTCCTAGACTGTATATGAGATTATTTGTAACCAAATTCAAGAATACGATTTAGAAAACCGCATCTAATTTGGTGCTGTGGTATATGCGTGAGGTCGAACTAAACATACACACAGACAAACAGACCAGAGGGAGATTTTGTACAAAAGTCGATTGCTTGGATACCTCTGTCCCATTCGTGTTTCAACCGTAAAGCAGTTGTGTTTGCATGTACAGCTGTGTTTCGGTTTGAAGGGTATGGCGTGAATTTACAGGTTACAGAGGAATAACACCTGAGTCCTCAGGAATGGCAACGCATGGGGGATATCATGGGCGAAACAGTATACTCCGTTATGGCCGTAGTACTGCTCATGTATATAGGCGACGGTTACCACTTTCCATCAGGTGCCATTCTAAGTTGTATAAATAAATAAAAACAAAATTTCTACAGATACGTTTGTTGATATGTTTTGATGTGTATCAGTCTTATTAAGACCCCTCATATTATTTTTTCTTAAATATTTCCCACGTACATACATCGTATAGTTAAAATTGTATTATATTAGTAAAATGGCAATAGGTACTACTACGTAGTTACTACAAAGTAAATTGATTAGCCACGACATCATTTCTTTAAATAGATAGACTATCAAAATTTGTTACATATACACACATACACATAAACACTCATACACACACAAACTTTTAATAGTCTCAAGAATATTAAAATTTTGTATTTATTGAACTCTAGTTATATATTTCTTTCTATATTTTAAGAATCACCTTTGAAAGGCGATTTTTTTTTTCTAATGTCCGATTTATGTTAGTCATATTTTGAACATAATAGTAAGTTAACAAAAATACAAACAGAGATTTAAAATATATAGTATCTGACTGAAATATACAAACCACTTTACTAGAATATTGCTTATGTAAATCAAATAATTATAAAAGTAAAAAAGCACTGTGGTTCAAAAAAACATTTATTATAAGATCTAATTATTAAAAATTCAAATCTGATCAATAACATTCTGTTGAGTTTGAAACATAATAGCAAGGTGTCCTGTCCTCGTCATTTGATATGGACGTCGGGAAACCAGAAGTGAGGGCAAAAAACTCTACTGGGGTTAGCGGACATGAGTAGAAATGTAAGGGGCTAATGGAGATGTGCATCCCTATAGAGGTATATTATGACCCTTTTCGCAATTGGATACGGCCGGGACACCATGAGTTGAAGGTACTTGAGCTTGAAATAAAGTTTTTTACACTTTTTTTAATGAGACGATAATAGAATAGTAACCTCGCCTCGGTTTACGCTGGCTGGGTACTAGTAAGTAATGATAGGTAAGGAACTCACTTGCTAAACTGAAATTTAATAAATTTTCAGAAAGACCGCGTGGAGGTCGACGTTACAGATATATTTCTAACAATGGAGTCCCTATTACTAACAATGTCATCCCTCCCCCCCTCCCTACCGCCCCAATCTGGCAGATCTAAAAATCCTTCTTTACTAGGCGCCTTAATACCACAACAAATTGTCATAGTTATACTTCTCCATTTCAAATATTGGGATGAGTAAGAACAATGTGGACTATATTGTCCTTCTCTCCTTGACAATAAATATACCCGAATATGGAAACTATTCATTTATCCTGATCGATCAATAAAAGTTGTCTTGAATCATTATCCCTTAGGTTGTCTTGAAAACATTGCTCTCAGCACTAAGACCGCCTTACTGTACTTATACAATTGTATCGTTATGTTTGTAAATTGTCTTGCTTATTTCCTATATTATATAATGCAAATAAAGTATACTCATACATTCATTCATTCATCAATATATATATCCCGATTTATAAACGAATAACGAATTTAGTGTTTAAACTAGTAATCATCATATAGATATTTATTTTCAAAAATAAATCCGCTTTATATGTACCAAAATAAAAGCAATTCATATCTCCGCGTTGCAGTGTCACTGTTAAATGCATTGGGCCAGGTAACGGCTGGACGTAAAACATCCAACTCCAACACTAAATAAATGATCAAACAACGTGCACTCGCCTATGTATAATACATACGGGCCAAGGATATCTAGACCTAGGTGTTGTATAAAACACTGAAAACACTCATCATACATTTTTCAACGAGATTTTCCATTGTATTTTTTGTTTGTCTACCAAACGGAGAGTTTGAATAATATAAGATTGTAATCTATGAAAAAAAAAACCGACTTAAGTTGTGGCAAAACGAAGATTTTTATTAAATTTCTACAGAACCAATCTTTAAATATATCCTTTTAGACAAAAAATGAATTTGCCAAATCGGTTTACAATTGAGCAAGTTATGAGATAGCAAATACAAAAAAAGATATAACGGAATTAAGTGCCTCCTTCATTTTGTCGGTTGATAATCATTCATACAGAGTCCTACAGTCTACTCATATAATAAATATGAAAGCTTAACTGTTTATCACTTTATTGCACTTAAACAGCTAGTCTAATTTAAGTGAATTGAAAGTATCTGAAATGTTGACCGGGGATGTAGGGTATCACCATGCAAAATTTCATTTATGTCGATCCAACAGTTTTGGAGACTAGCCCGTACAAATACAAAATCAAAAAATTAAAAAAAAAAACTGAATATGTTCTATTTCATTTCTAACATCTCTCTGACTCGGTTTATAGCGTTTTTTTTTTATGTACAGACATTCGACCTTTGCAGTTTTACTATACTCGTATGTATAGATTAACTGCAGCAAATAGCTGTGTTGTAGTAATTTAGAATGCACTATATCATTATCTGTATTTGTATAAGGGAATCCATGTTTCACACTGTCAGTGTGGAAACAGAGCACCGCGGGGACTCTAGTTAAGCCAGCCACAACAATATATACGGCCAAAGGAAATACGGGAGCAAATCGGTCATTTACAAACTATATAACGTACTGGGAATTATTTTTAAGCAAATATTATAAATTACTATCAATCTCTTGTGGCTTTACCCTTGTTTACTGAAGTAAAAATATCCTACATGTATACATATATATATATATATATATATATATATATATATATATATATATATATATATATATATATATATATCTCTTAATTTCTTACCAGAGATAAACTTTGTACAAAAATGGTCTCCTTGGATCCTCTTTCTCTCTAATGG